GGACTTTGGAATCTTCGAGCATCGCAGGCCCTGTAGCCGCTGTTTCAGATCTTTGCTTCATGCCGTTTGTCTGGCATGAATCTCCTACAGTCACAGGTCCTTTACATCTACTTTCACGCTGCAGTAGTGCCAAGGTCACACGAGGCCTCCGAAAATGTGCCAGCTTCCAGTGCTGATAGAAGCGACGCCTCCATCCTGAAAACACTTAAACCAACACAATGGGTAGGGACACGTTGCTAGCTGATCCCGGAGTTTTTACGCGTACACATGATTAGAACGCTCCCTCCTGAACCCTCCACCCTTCTGCAGAGCCTCTGTTGCACTTAGTTCTTCACGATGCAGTTCTAAGTTCTATGACAGCAACCTGCACTTTCAGGCTGCGCGCTCCTGAGGCGAACTTCATCCAAAGCAGCATCTGGCAGGGAGCATGCAAGCAACGTGAGGTGCGCAAATTCATGAAGGCCTTCTGAATGTCTGACTGTGCGGACGGTAAAAAGCAACTGCAGCTCGTTCTAGGGCTTACAGAATCCCACGTGATACGGAACCTTGCTAGATCCTTCAAACGGCTTCAACCACTGCAGCCATGTTTGGAAACAACCTTGCTAGCCCGATAGCTTTTCCATCTGCCTGGCTTTGTGAAGGGCTCCTGTGTCCTGTCCACCTGGCAAAGCTGATGCGCAAGGTGCCTATTCCTCCATCTCGGATGGTGCGAAACCTTGAAAAGTGCTGCGGCTGCTGCTGTAGCTGCTGCTGTTGTTGCTGCTGCAGCTATCTTGATATCGCTCTTGTTGCTTTCACTGTTGTCGCTGAAGTTGGTGCATCATCAACAGCAGCAGGAACAGCAGGAGGCAGCAAGCACCAATCCAAGCAAGGATAGTGACACGGATAATGATGGCTAGACTTCATCAAATCACCAGGACAATGGAAACTGCCAGGTATGACTGCTGGGATTCTTCATATTGCTGCAGCTCTTGTAACCTTACGCAAACAAACCTGTAAGTACCACTGGCCATGAGTGTCAGCCGGTTGATCAGGATTCTAGTTCAACAGTGATTCCAGGAATGCTCAATGTTCAATGCCGTACAACCCCCGGATTACCCCATAACCCCTATACAACCCCCTATATTGCGCCCTATAGTACCGCTATATAGCCCGTTATATTACCCCTTAGAATAAAAAATTGACGAACTCCGGCCTCCAAGGCTTCCCGCAGCCGCACATCCATCCTGCGAACTTGTGGAACAACAGACACGTGTGGGATGTTTTCATGTCATTTTCTATACTATAGCGGTTATATAGGGGTTATATTAAGGGAAATACAAGGGGATATGTAGGGGTAAAATAAGGGTCACATAGGGGTACCGGATGTTCTCAGCTGCTAGGGCGAAGTGCAGGGGTATGGAGAAGCTTGATTGCTTTGCATTTTTGAGGCTTTGACGGTCCTTTGCTGAGAGGGCTCACGACTAATAAGCTAATAACATGTTCGGGCAGAGGGCCAGCTAGAGATGAATTGGATGCCGACCTCTGTTGCACCTGCCTCGAGGATTCTCTATGCTACTCCCATGCCCTTCATATCAAGAGCCTGCCATGTTTCCAATGGCGTCCATCGTCCTTGTGCGCGCTGCATCCACGGAAGCATCTGACAACAGGCAGCCAGCACATGCCAGGAACCCCAACTAGCCGGATGACTACGTACAGGTTCCACATGGTTCCACAGGTTGCTCCACGCTGTGAGATTCGTGGCTTTGGGACAAGAGAGGGGGCAAAAACTGCTCATGGAAGTTTCTGCAGAAATACGGAATGCCTTCACAAAATGTTTCCAACTCTTTCTTGAAGCTCATGTCTTTCACTGACCGCCCTGGGCGTCTTACCCTAACAGGGTTGCAAATTCCGAGCAGTCTGCAGAGTCTGGTCTTCTTCTATGCACTATTCACGGCAAGGACGCAGAGCCCACAAACAACACAAGTCTGCGGTCTACTACTGCCCAGGTCTGGGGCGCCGTGGACGGGCTTCCATCATGGACTAGCCCTTACACAGCATTACGCCGCTTTTCGCAGCCATAATCTATCTCATTCAATCTGAGGCCCCGTTTAGCTTCCAGCGGAATGCTGGTCCTGGATGCAAAGTTCCTGATCAGTCTGCTCTTCAGCTCCTTTGCATAAGTAAACGCGTTTGCTCACATCACAGTCGGGTCTTTCTGTTGCCTCCGTCCTGCGAACGCCACGCCCGGGTTGGGCTGGCAAGGCTGCGGACAAAAAGGGTTCATAGCGCACATGGATAAGCATTTTCGTTGGGAGAGTGATCCACCGCCTCATCAGCTCAAAGTCAGGTTCCTCCCGTCTTTTCCTGTTCTGTATTTCTTGGTGTGCAACATGGCCTGCTGTTATTCAGAATGTGGAACCTGGAACATCTTATCAGGTCCTCCCGCGGATGTGGATCATCTGCAGGCAGCTTGCCGGAATACACAGGTCACATAGCCAGCCTACAATACTTATTGCATCAACCAGGCTCGCACATTGAAGCCTGCTCACAAGTCAAACCTATTCATTTGAATTCTGCTCCTGTTCCTCCCAATAAAAGCCAATAAAAAGCTGATCCCTGGGTCTCCGCCATGCCTCTCTCGGAGGCAGCTGGCTTCGCCTCCACCTGTCGGAGTGTTGGTCCAGGGGCACAGGAGCGGGAGCACGGCAAGTCCAGCTGGCACGCCATCAGGCATCTCTCAATATCCTTGAACTAGAGCCCAAGAGAAGGAATTCCCGAAGCCCTCAAACTACTTCTCAAGCTAGGATGTCTTGCTAATCCTGGCCACAGATGACCAACTAGCTTTCACATGCGACGCACGATCCCCAAGAATTGATTTGACTGTCTTGGCCTGCTGTATTGCCAGTGCGTATCACGTTGAAGCTTCCTTCGAAGTGCTGCTACAGCAGCATGTTTGGCTACCACACAGTTAGGAGCCTTCTTTCAATGATCCCAGTGGAAAAGATTTGGAGCACCGTCCAGAACCTAATCCCTTTCCCACAGCAGTGCCTGGGCCTCTATCGGAGCAGGAGCTGGCTCAGAGACACTTGCCTGGGCCTTCGCAGCACAAGGCTTCAAGCTTCATAAAAATGCAAAAGCGTTTTAAGCTCCTTTGTCAATGCAAACGGCCGACTTTCATGACATGGTCTTTCCGAAGTTTGGCGAACAAGAGCTTGTCCGAAGCCCTCTCAATACGCACTGCTCCCAGCCCTACGTTCAGCTCCTCGCAGTGGGTGTAAACAAGGAGCAAAGGGAGGGCGAGGGGAAACAGAGCATCGACAAACACATGTCCTGTCCGAACCTGCGAAATTTACATGGCGATGGAGCTTGGGTCCAGTGCACAACTCATCACAAGTCTTTTTGCCGTCCGGGGGTGCCGAGGCGTTTCGGGCCCGCCACTTCAGTCCGGGGAGGGTGCGTTTCGGGTCCGCCGCTTGCGTCCGAGCGGGGTGCGTTTCCGCGCGTGCCCAGGTGCGTTTCGGGACGTGCTCCGGTGCGTTTCGTGTCCGCCAGCGATTTCCGCACGGCGCCGCCTTGTGGAGCGTTCTCAGAATCCGGTTTGCGTGGAGCGTCGTCAGAATCGGATCTTTCGACAGCGCGGAGCGTCCCGAGAATCCGATTTCTCACGGCGCTCCTGCGTGAAGCGTCCTCAAAATCCGATCTCTCGACGGCGCTCCCGCCTACAAACCCTAATCCCTAAAAGTACCCTGAAAACCCTATACCCCTAAAAGCCCAAATCCCTAGAAGCCTGAATCCCTAAAAACCCTAATCCCTAAACCCTACACCCCAAATCCCTGAGGCCCAAACCCCAAAAGGAAACCCCTAAACCCTAAACCCTAGTCCCTACAAACCTGAATCCCTAAAAGCCTTACTTAATCCATGAACCCTAAACCAAACCCAATCTCCCTAAGCCCAAACCCTAATCCCAAAAAGCCCCGAGCCCGAAAAGGCCCAAGGCCTGACAAGGAGAATGTAAGCCCTAATCCCTAAAACTTAAATCCTTCAAACCCTAAACCCAATCCCCTAAAGGCTAAACCCCAAGCCCTAAGCCCTACTAGGCCCTACTCCCTTAAAGCCTGGATCCCCAAGAGCCCTAATTAATCCCTAAACTTTAAACCAAACCCCATCTGCCTAAACCCTAATCCATAGAGTCTCAATCCCTAAAAGCTTCAAACGTCGATCTAAACCCTAAGCCCAAACCCTAAATTCGAAATCTTAAACCATGATTCCATAATGCGTCTGAAATGCCCCATTGTGTGCGTCAGAAAACTCCCCTCCACGTGCGTCTGAAACTCCCCAGCCTCTGCTCTGAAATTTTGACCTGAAATTCGCGCCCGAAACTCCCCCCCCTGCGTCTGAAATGTATAACGCTCCCGTCCCGGAGGTGCCTTCCACTTCGCAGTTCACAGCGGCATGTGGCTAAACGGGCTTCACATTGTTCAATGTGCTCTTCCCCCAACCGTGAAACCATGCCATGCTAAAATGCCCCGATTGAGTTTAGAGTCTTGCAAATCCCAACCGATTCAATGTAGGCTGAGTCAGGCGCTGTAAGAGCCTCCACGAAGCAGTTGGCAAACTCACCCAGGGGCGCCTCTTCCAGCGCAGCCTTTAGCTGAGAGGGCTCTCAACGCGGTACTTCTCAGGAGGATTGCTTGTGAGGTTTCTGAAAAAGCTGAGGCGTGCAGTACGGATTCTAGGCTCATGTTGGGATTGCGGCAGGACGGGGTGGTCATTTCCAGGATGTCAGTTGGCTAGTCACTCCAGATGGTGAGCAGGTTTGGCAGTCTTGAGCAAGCGGGTACCAAACCTACGCGCTGACTGCTTTGGTGTAGGGACCAATATTGTGATTCAGGTGGCATTGCCCCTGCATGATATCACATGCTCACGCTCACTCCCAAGCATGCCCTGAGTCTAGTCTGTCATAAGTCCTCCAACAACAGCTCTTTGTCCTCCAGCATCCTCTTTCCAAGCCGGGATGCCAGGAACGCGGACGAAGGTGGACGCGTGGACGGTTCAGGCTCGACATGCTCGACAAGCGCCTTGATTTGAGATCGCAAGATGTTACAAGCAGGTGAGCTCCTGCTTCAGGGTTTTTTGGGGGCCTGTACTATGGCTCGTCTGAAGAAGTTGGAACCATGTGCTACTTGCTCGACGTGCATCTGGTAGCCTCAATTGGTGTCTCACTTTGATTGGTGAATATTGGTGACCATGTAGTGACTACGATTGCAAGAAAGCTTTCCATATCATGAACGGCCAGGCGGACACTTGTTCGCCCCTGGCCTGTTCGCTGACACCCTGGCAACCCTGTAAGGAAAAGAAACACCACAGCAAACACTGACAAAGCGGTTACGAACCCAAGCGTCCACTAGATGATATTTAGCTGACTTGCCCAGACCGTCCCAACGTTCATCTCTAACCTTACAGCTCAAAGCATGTGGCTGGAAAAGATGGCGTATTCTCTAAGGTTGAAGGTCGGGTCCACCTGCCGAAAGTTAACTGTCTGCAAGAAGCCGTTGTAAAACCCTGAATACGTCAAGAGTCTAGTTTACTTTGTTGAAACCTTACATGAAGTTGAAAGCAATAACCGAAAACATGCAGCGGCAGTCGAAACATGCAAGCTGCTCGCCTCCGCCTCGCTAGTTGGATCCTCTGCGGCTGCCGGCGCCTCCAAGGGTCAGCTGCATGTCCAATCCACTAAGCTACGGCGAAATCTGACCGCCATTGGACGATTGAAGTGGACTTCCATTGATTGGACTGTCGCCCTAGGACTCCTTGTCAATGTGTTGGTGTCTTCCAGCGGAAACGGTCAGACGGTCACATCAAGGGCACCGGCGGCGAAGGCTACAACCCTACGTCTACTCGTCCCTTAATGTCCCCTAGAATATGCAGACGAAGAACGCTCCGTCCACCAGCTGGAGCAGCTGAAAAAAAACATGCTGATGATCCGCAACAGCTCTTCTGACCCGCCTCTGTTGGGGCAGTTGGGCTTTCATCCTCCGTCAAAGGGGATGTGTCATCAACGAACTCGTGCGCCTTGCTCTGCAGTAATGTCTGAACAGCGTCTATCCTCCACGGCTTTTGGGTTCACGAACTACGAATCTAACGCGCACCGCGTCATGGCTGCCTGCTGCGTGCGTTAGTCAGGATTAGACTTCAAACTTGCGCTTTGGGACGCGCGGTACCTGCAGGCGCTCACACATTGCGACGTGGAGCTGAAAATTGCCGAAGCCTGCCTTGGAGGATGGCTCCGGAAGAAGCTCGACTTCCTCCTCCTTGCAGTGTCAGCGAATACTGCATGTTGCCGACCCTAATAGCTCCGCAACAGCACCCCGATTCAACCCCTGCACATAACTTTAAATCTTGAGTGGTGGCACAGAGAAACCCACGAATACTTGGGCGGCGTATGCGCGTTAGCTTGCTTTGAACTTGCTCCGCACTACACACCAACTGTCAGGCTCCTCAAAAGCTTCTTGCACAGCACCCATCACACGCTGCATGGCGTCCTGGTCATTGGTGCGGTACTCTGGTCCAAAGCTGGTCAAAGGCATGCATGAAGCACTATCAAAAGACCTCCGGCAGCCCCTCTGCGGTCAGTGCAGAGCGCAGCTTCGAGAGGACCTGCATCATACAAAGTGGCACATCTGGCTATTCAATCTGGGGTCGAGAAATCACTAGTCATGACGCACGGAGTTGATGGTTGAAGGGTTGCCGATTCAGCCATACAGTCATTTCAGGACAAAGCACATGCCAGTTCGGAGACCAATCTCTAAGCGCAGAGAAGACGGGTCACGGATTTGAGGCGGCTGAAAGGTCGGCCTTTAAGCTTCGACGAACTTACAACGCCTCGCAGCTCCGTCGGGAAGGGCTTTCATTAGAAAACCAGCTTTCAAGCAGCAAACTGAAAGCAACCCCACATTTTTTGGGAACTCCCTTGAAAGCAACACCATCAACAAGGAGCCAAGCCTTGCTGCGGGGCAGGGTTGAAGAGTCAAGAGCCTAGAAACAGTGCGATGCTGGACTTTGACATGGTCATGCCAGAAGCCTTAGGTAGATTCCGCCCTGGAAGTGTGTACTAAGTCATTTCTAGGTGAACTGATGGACGTGTTGCACTGCTTGCGTGAACACATACTGTTCCTTGCTGCATCATGCCGTCTCCACATCTGTAAGATCAGGACAGGAAGGGGCCGCTGAACCGTGTATGTTGGCAACGGCAGCATGCCGCCATTTTGCCTGAAAGCAGCGAATCGGCCGATCCCCGTCCTCTGCCAAGCTGCAGCGGCAGCCCTGAACTTTGCTCTTACCTTCTGGAGCTCACGATGCCCCACCTGTACCAACATGTACCACACCGCCAAACTCGCAACATCCCCATCCCAAGGCCTCTTGGGACGCCGGCCTGGCGACTGCTAAGCAGGCTGTTGACATGATCTGGAGCATGTCTTAAACACGCATGGTCCGTCAATGCTGAGCAGAAGGGGTGTTGACATGGGATTGCCGCGAAGCGGAATGTGAGTTTCTGCTGACCGCAACGGACGCGCAAGCTTGAGTGTCGGCCTTTGCGAGGACATGGCACGCCAGGCACCACAGGGGCAAAGTACACCTACGGAGCAGGGAGCGGCTTTTCTCTACATCTCATCTCCCTCACGGCTGGATCGCATTAGAGGTGATGTTTTTCTACTTGTCCACATTTCTTGTCCTGCTGTGCTGCCTAGGTCCTGTAAGGCTTAGGCCTAGGTGCAGAAGCTCTGCTTGTTCTACTTCTGGCAACACAGGGGCTGGATCTGTTTGCATTTTCGGTTGGCAAGAAGCGAAGTCCGTCGCATGAAGATGCGTCACGTCTGCCAGATTACTACAGGCAGGTGCATCGTTACAGGCTGATGGCAGGATGGGGTTCTTTTGCATTTGCAGCCTCGTGTCGCGTCGAGGGTTGAAGTGGTCTCAAGAGGCAAGGAGGTAAGCTCGTGAGCCATGAGGAGCAGCTGCGTAATTCCCTTGGGTCAGCCTCTTTGCTTGCCAAACACTAGTTCTACTCGAAAGGGCCCAAAGTCTTCAGTTAGACGATGCTCAAGCACTGCTCGGGCCCTATCTTACATCACTGGCAAGCAAAGGGGGATGGTGACCCCGCATGACAGCACTTTGCTTCTCCCATGCCTTGTCAGCAATGGCCGCTGAAGGACCTCTGGCAGCAAAAGAGCTATGTTGCATGGTATTCTGACGTCTACTGCTGAAAAAGCCTTGGAATCTGACCTGCCTTCGCCGAACAATCACCAGCTGAAGTGTGGAGGGAATTCATTCTACGTGCTGTCAGGGAGCGGATCTTTTCGAAGGACGTTCGCCAGCAGAAGCCCTTCAGACTCGCATCAAGCCTCGCTCCAGCTTGAATGTGGGTTAAGGTGCCAGGACTAGATGGGCTACAGCCTACAACCTACCTCATCGGAAGCTTCTGCTGCAGGTTCAGAAAGATAGCTGATAGCGTGAAATCTAGAAGTTGCAGCAAGAGAAACAATATAGCGTCACACATCGGGACACTGTGACTCGTACCTTGTCACTAGAAGTTTGGCCAAGATGCAGGTACGGATGCGGCCGTGGCCGTCCCTTCGGAGGCTGCGGCGGTGGCTGCGGTGATGGCGCCGTCTCCTGTCTTCTGAAATCTGTGCGGATTCTATATGACCCTGATTAATCAGTTGCTGCGGTGTACCAAGCAGCTGAAGCCCCACCTGCATCTGCAGCAGCACACGGGGCTAATTTCTCAAAGGTAATTATCTTTGTGCTGGGGGTTTGGATGTAAGCTTGCCAGCCACCTACGCTTTGTGTAAAAAGTTCGGGATTCTTCATCCTGCCTCACAGATCAACCTACACCCCCTGAAACCGTCTGCTGAAGTCAAACAAACCCAAAGCTGAACAGCGGTGACGCAGCTCCATGATGAGGCGCCGCAAGGTTAGCCAATCAAACCAGCGGCTGGGGTCAGGACTGCAGCTCCACCATTTCGCACATCTGACGGGCGAAACCTGCGCAACAAGGCTGCCCTCTTCTGCTTGCGGTTCTGCACGTGCAGGGCATCAAGCTTTTCTGGGTTTTCCAGTGCGCCATATAGTCTGAGCCCCCAGTACCCTTCCAACAACTATCAACAACTGCATGGATCGCTGCCGAAATGCAGAAAATACAGTCCCTGCCACCTGGCAGGGCGGGCACTGCGCTGACGTTCCGAGGAGTTCGCCTGCAAGGCATGAGCTGGCATTGTAGTGTTGTCGGCTCGTTGGTTTTGGAGGTCCAGTCCAAAAAGTGGTCCCTGCAGGGACTGGCCTGAGACAGCCCTAAGGGGTCTGGTCAGACTGGATAAAAAAAGATAAGCAGAATGGCGGAACATGCAGGGTCCCGCAGCACCCGATGGATCTGCTGAGGCCGTTCTGTGGAGGTCTCTCGCTTAGCATGAGGCAGACTGTCTTGCAGCCATCTAAACCTCTGCAGTGCTCTAGGCGCGCACCTCAACGAAGCCAGACGGGATGGGTGGCAGCGAGGTGGTCTTGGAGGCCTTTTGCCTGGAACGTGCATCAATTTTGCGTACAGCCCGAACACATAATTCAACTTCTGGTTCTAGGTCATTTTGCAGAAGACTCGATGTCAGCCGTCCACTCGACTATCAGCGGGCGCAGCTCTGCTTAGTTTTTTGTGCCTCTTCTCTGAGAAACTCAAGACAATAGAAAATTCACGAAAAAGTCAAAAGCCGAAACTGTAGGCATGATCATCTTCTAGTAAGTACGAATTCAGTCTCCAATGCCTGGGGTCGGTCGACGTCATCGGGGCCTCCGTAACAAGCTTGTGTTTGGTCATCTGGTGCTGTTTGGAAATGTGGCTCAGGCTTGGGGTTGGAGACTCCAAACACGATGCAAGCTCTCAAGACCTCCCGTATCACTTTGTTCATCACAACTGTGGCCTGCTAATTACACTGCCAGTGCACAGTATCTGGACAGTCCGGAACAATTTTATTTCCACTGCCTGGGTCTTCTCGATTGGAGGCAGAAGAACGTCTGTTGGGCTAGGACCTCGTCCTCGGCCCATCCTCGAGAAACACCTCTAGTGGGCCGGCGAGAGGCTACACGTCAGGCCTGGAAAGCATGCACTTGACAGCAGAGCCGAAAGGAACACCAAGGCCCGGACGCAGCGGCAGAATGGGAGCCGAAAATGGAAAATGGAGCAAATCCTATCACGGCAAACACTGCGCGTCCGGAGTGTCAGTTGAAACTTGGTTCCAGGGGGCAGCTGGTGGAGGATCAGGCTATGTATCAACACATGACTGAACATGATCTAAGCAGGGACCTGTGCTCTTTGAGCCAGCTGAAACAGAAAGCACGAGCTGCAATATGCTGCCATCGCAATTGGTCCAAGGCAACCGGCACACAGACTTGATGACAGGGCGGGCATTGCTCATTTGGCTGCTGCTTCTCTACAGCCACCCGTACACTGAAGTTTCTTCGCTCCACAACCCTCTTAGAATCTAGATTGCTGCTTTGCGTCATCCCACTTTTTGCTTCTAAAAGCCAAATCAATGGGCGGCTGGGAGCTGCGTGCCTCAGCTAGCATAAACTTCTGAAGCCCATCGACATCAGGGAGCGGGAGCAAGCTGAGCTGTGCACATTGCCACCACCCTGGCAGATCTGCGATGTATTCATCGCCTGCAGGTTGCTTCAGTGCAGTCTTTGTTTTAGCAAGGTATGCATCCCGAGCAGGATGCGTGATGAGCAGTCATGGCACTCCCTGATGTTGGATGAAAGCGGACGGGTTCGCATTTGACCTGCTTTTGTGTGCCGGGCGGGTTGCAATCACCAGTGTGTGACACACCGTTGCAGATAGAGATCTCCACACAAGAATGCACCCAGGTGCAATCAGCTCTGACAAGTCATGCCTCTGTTACACCATAAATCTGATTTTGTGCTAATTCCGCGAGGGCAAGATAGGCAAGTCTGCATCCAGGACTTCTCACAAGCATCCGCTGCTTTGCAGCAGAGCATTACATACCAACTCTGGCAGCCCTACATACCACTTGACATTTGCACTCCATCAACAAGGCACTGCGTCAGATTTCTGGCGGTTTGAGCATGGAGAAGCCGTGCCAGGTATGCAGGCACCACCAGAGTCTTCAACACATGCAAAGCTCGGGCACTTGACGGTCCGAAGTCCGTAACTTCAATTCCGCTCGAGGCAGAGTAGATTCAGCCTTAAAGCAGAAACTGGCACAGCCATGAAAAGCTCCAGAATGCCTAGCAAGAGACCTGGAAAGTCAACACGTGGAGGAATGGATAGCGCTGATGCTGCACGTTGGTTTCGATGCTATCCAAGCCCAATTCTGTTCAATTCTGGTCCTTTGCTGGCTTCTGCATTCCGCGAATCCTTGACAACAAGAACTCATGCAAGCAAGGGAATTCCGGTGTGTCTGACAGTGTCTGAGCCAATCAGCGCTTCAGACGACTCGGGACGCACATTTGAATGTGAGCAAGCCCCGCGAGCAGTGCCTGCACTGAATAGCTTGCAGTGTGGTTTCGCTCCTGCATGTAAGGAACCTTCCGGTTGCACAGGAATGCTCGCTCGATCCTTGCGGCTCAGAACTCCGCGCAGGAGTCTT